AGCAGGAATCTTCACTGGGAGGTTAATATTACTAATTTTAGTGTGAGAATATTCCACGCACGTGGCTCCAGGGTGGAGGACGTACTTCTTCCTTCCTAAACGAGTCTGCTGAGTGAAGTAGTCATAGCGCTCTGATTTTTTCCACATGTAGTAATACTCCACACACTCGCCCACTGACCGGGTGCGGACCTGAGGAGAAACATCATGGTCAGAAAGCTGCGCATCAAGATGCATCTCACGGAGCAAGGACTATTCTCCCATTTAATCAGCACAGAAAATGGAATGCATTACAGTAATTTATATTGCTATGGACACATCTACGCTGCAAAACAGAAGCACATACTGAGATTTCCAAGGTGGTAATCGGCCAGAAAAAGAACTCCCCACAGTGCACAATTGTTCTTGCAGACCCCAGTGTGGGTTCACACACAGTACATTCGTGCAGGATTTTCCTGCGCTTCCAGTAGCACACTTAACATCAAGAGAGCAAACCTGCATCCATTTTCACTGGCCAGCGTCAACATGCCCACAATTAATCAGCGGTAGAACTGGACTCTCTGGTTCTGCCAACTCCCAGCACAGCAGCATATGTCCTGGGGCCCAGCTCTCCCTACAACAGCATCTTTCGTTCTAGAGGACCCCAGGGGACTTTACAAAACATCCACATGCTCAACTCACTCATTCACAGAAGTACTGCAAGGGCTGAGAGTTTGGAAAGAACTTTTGAGACTCCAGAAAGGGCTAATCAGTAATTAACTGACATCACTCATGCAGGTCAGTGTTGTTTGTGACTTCTCCCACCTGGAAAATAAGGCAGAGCAGGGCAGTGAACAGCCCATCACCTGCTAGCATGAGTCAACACAAAGCCTGGGATCGGAACTCAGCAGTCCTGAACTTCCTGCATTAGCCGAGGCTCACAACATACCTCTGGTGCGAATGCACCTGCCTCCTTCCCTTTGTCTTAGTGGGATGCAGGAGTGAGCGTCCTTACCTTGTTTGCTTGGATAAGATGAAAGTTTTTCCCATGGACCCTGAAGCCATGTTCAAAATTTCTACATTCTTCCTCACTCCAGGCACAAAGCTCATCTGTAGCAGAAAGAAAGAGGAATTGGAGATGTACAGAACCTAGAAAGAGTTACATGCGCCTTGATGTTTGGGGTAGAACCCAAATATGGGAGATTCTCACCTCTGATAACCTTCACATTGAACCGTAACCTCCGCAGTGCCTCTTCTGCATTGAAGTTGCATTTAACCAGCTCATACAAAGCCTAGGAAACAGAAGAAAATTACTGACAGTATGTACCCGAGCAACACACCACAAACCAACCTGCTCATGACTCATGTTTGTTTCGTCAAACTTATTTTTCCCAGAAGCCACTTTGCCACTAACCCCCAGCTTGACCAAGCAGCACAGATTATTCCACTTTTCAAGGCACTGGATTACAAACCCGGAGACTGAAAAGGTGCAGTTCTAGCAGCAGCTCTGCAGATCACAGGTGTGCCTCTGTTCCTGCAGACTTACTGTGAGAATCTAACCGGGCTACCTTAGAGGAAACAACTGCTCTGAAGTTTCTTAGCCAAATGTTTGATCTTCTGCTGGCTTCAAAGAAGAATTAGACAATGCTATAGAGGACAGATCCAAAAGGATGTTCCTGCTGCAAGCGCTGGCTCAGAGAGTTTGGGATACTGGGAGAGCACAGTTAAAACAGCACCCATTCTCGACTTGCCCAGTCTGTTACACACTTTCCACAAACATAGAATCATAGAATCATCTAGGTTGGAAAAGACCTTTAAGATCATCCAGTCCAACCATTAACCTACACTACCAAGCCCACTCTAGACTAATCAAGGGTAGACCAGACTAAACCATATCCCGAAGTGCCACCTCTACCCGTTTTTTAAACGCCTCCAGGGATGGTGACTCCACCACCTCTCTGGGCAGCCTGTTCCAATGCCTGACCACCCTTTCCGTAAAGAAATTTTTCCTAATTTCCAGTCTAAACCTCCCCTGGCGCAGCTTAAGCCCATTTCCTCTTGTCCTATCGCTAGCTACTTGGGAGAAGAGACCAACACCCACCTCACTACAACCTCCTTTCAGGTAGTTGTAGAGAGCGATAAGGTCTCCCCTCAGCCTCCTCTTTTCCAGGCTAAACAACCCCAGTTCCCTCAGCCGCTCCTCATAAGACTTGTTCTCCAGACCCTTCACCAGCTTCGTTGCCCGCCTCTGAACACGCTCCAGCACCTCAATGTCTTTCTTGTAGTGAGGGGCCCAAAACTGGACACAGTAACATCTGTTACTGCGCTGGAAAAAAAGTACTAAGCTAGACAGGCCTGTGGTCAGAACCACTACAGCCATTTCCCGTCTTCCCAATGGGAGCACGAACAGCCTCCTGAGACTGCAGCTGAGAAGCACACCCTCACTTATCCATAAAGCAGGAGCAGAGAATCACCAGAGTTAGGTCTCGTTCTCTTTTAAGTGGGTGTCCCAGTCAGGATCTCTGTAGGAAACGTTGCACTATTATGCCAGCACCATTAGAGTATCTGCAGGCTGCAAGAAGCACCCATGTTTACCTGTTCGTTGTCCTTCACCATCTCTCCTTCTGGCAGGCTGCTGCTAGACAGCTCGTCCCATCGCCGCTTCACTGCACGGTATAGGAACTCTTCAACCTCTCTCTCGGGGAGTATGTTTGGGTCCCAAAGCAGCTGGTCTTCGTTCTCATAAGCTAACAGAAAAAGCACTGAAATAAGCCAATCAAACAGAGAATTCTGCTGCTTTTGAGAAATAGTCTGCATGTACGTGCATGGGAGAGACAGGAGGAAGCAGGAAATCTTTGCTCGGTACTCCAACCTGGCACTGGAGATGACAACCATCTCTGTGAAGGTACTGCATTTTCCCTCCTGATTTTAGAGGCAGATAAGCTTAATAACTACTCTTTATATCCCCTTTAGAGCCCTAAGCACAGGGTCAGCTTGCCTTCACTTCTTCAGAAGGGTTGGTTGACAAGGTTTTTGTTACCATGTTCTCAAGGATTGTTGCTTTAATTCACTTATCCTGGCAACTAAAACCCCCTAGGTTCTAAGGTGTCTTTGCCAGCACACCATAAACAAAAGGAGTGGCAGGCAAAGGCAGCTCTGAGCTACAACCCTGGCCTAGGCTCAAGACCCTCTCCCTGTCCTAGACACAAAACTAAGCAGCTGCAAGGCTGTCCCTCCCCTGTGATAGCTTGCAATGCTCCTCCATGAGCTGCTCCACCCACACAGAATAGCAGGAGCACACTGCATCACTAAATGATTCTTGCCCCTTTCAGCTTTCAAGGCTCTTAGTCTATGAGAACACAGCACACAATAATGCAGAGAGATGTTTCAGTAAAATAACAGCACAGGGGAAAGCAAGAAGAAAGACTCTGCAATTAAAAAAACCCAAAAATCAAAATCAGAAATACTGAGATTTTTCTATTCAGGTAAAAACATTAGCACTCTCTGTACTTAACTCATTTCTAGAGGCAAAGGAACCAACTCTTCTGCCCTGTAGAATCACTAAAATCAGGTCAGAGGCACTACAGACAGGGCCTAAAAGACCCCCATCGGGATCTACTATCAGTTTCCTATAATTTCACACTGATGCAGACATACAGGTTATGGAAAATACGCACTAAATCTGTGCTCTTCAATACAGAGGCTGAGAACACTGATAAAGTAACAGCAAAAAATTCTGAGAACTATACTGGGTAAATCTGAAATAGTACCTGCAAAACTGATAACTTTTATCTCCTCCTTTAATTTGCTTGGAGTCTGTTAGGATAAAAGAACTAGGGAGGAAGCAAGTAATTTGTAAAGACATGGCTTTCTGTTAGCTATCTTGTTCAGAAACTCAACAAGCTGGTGCTAGTATTGCTCTAGTTATTAGACGCAATCTGCAAATCAAGGCACTTCCATCTAGTCTGCTGACATCCTATCAAATCAGAAACTGATCACCTCCAGGGAGTACTGAATGAAAATAACTCTGGCTACTTAAGGAAGACGTCAGAGAAAAATAAATTAGAGTATCTCCAGAAGGGTATTCCTTCTCTTTGGCTACGGCTGAGATGCCTCCTCCAAACGTCTCACACCAACCCAGTCTTCACGGAGCTTCTTAGCTTCTGCAGCTGTATTACTAGCCCTATTCAAACAGGCTGGTTTAAAGCCAGCTCAAGTGTAGCTGTAAATTCTGGTGTCAACGCTGAGAGGTGCCAAGCCTAGAGACATAGAGCAGAACGGGTGAACCAGGGCCCCATCAGACGCCCAGGCCAGCAGCCCTACATCCAAACAAGATACGCAAAGCAGGTTGCCTTACCTTTTTCACCATGCCTGTTTAAGTGGAGGATGGGAACAGTGGCTTGGAACTGAGGTCCAACCATGATCTCCTGAAATATCACCAGAGAGAAGTGGGTAAATTGAAATGGAAAATGCTCCACGTGGGCACTGAGGTGTACTTCGTGATTTAGGGACTACGACACCACGAGGCCGATTTATATATCGGTAGTCCCCCCTGTCACTATTACTTCTAGGGAACCCGGACTATTTTATAGGGTAACTAAAAAGATTTACTACCACCCAGATGATACTTTGGGGACCTTAGGCATTTACATAGTTTTAACGTTAAAGATATATGGCAAGCAGCTAAGGCTGGAGATAAAGAAACGCAGAAGCTCTCCTGCAACCTTCGCAACCAGAATGAGTTTGGAAGTCGCTCCTCTCTTATGTGCGATGGTTGGCCCTCAGTAAATCCTGCTGGGAATATTGCACAGCATTTCACCTTTATAGGGCTACAGGCTGCAGTTTTAATTTACCAAGGCACAACAGCATTTTCCATATCTGAAGCAGAAGATACTTCAGATACAGATTTCAAGATTGTATTAAAAAACCTCTTGTAACCCGTATCCGCCACCGCCTTTCACAAAATGCAAGGCACTGAGCAAAAGAAAATAAAAGAAAGAAAGTTTCTTGAGGAAATATCACAGCGCTTTGGTGTCATGCTTTCCTCAGATTCAGGTGCATTGTATTAGCTCCCCTTCCCAACGCACTCAGATCATTTACCTTAGACTCACTGGATGGGGTGGAAACCTCCTCTGACTTCCCAGCCATGGAGGAAGCACACGGAGATGAACAGGGCTCTTTGTCTTCATCAGCAAGGAAGTTGTTTGCTTTGTGGGAAAGGAAAAGATCTGTAGTTATGAAATGTTTTTTTTCTTATTGCTCTCTGTTCCCTCTCCTTCCCTTCATTTTCTGTTCTAAAGTTACTTTCAGCATGCTCCTCAGTGACAACTTACCCATATTTTAATTTTCCCCTGTTAAATAAAAGAATTTGCACACTTGCCACATGGGTGGTGCCAACCAACCCGGGAAGCTCAGACTCCTTCGTTTTGCAGACTAGCAGAGGGAATAAGATCACTCTATGCTGAGTCTCTCTTATGCACTTTGGCTTCCTGCGTATTCTAATATTTAGGAACTGCCACAACATATCACACCACTAGTACTCCTGAATTTATTCACTTCTAGAGATGTCAGATCAGGTACTGATCTTTCAGACTGCAATTACAGCAGGTACCAAAACAATTCTCACTTTCTCAGTGTAATGAGTTACAGCTAAAGACAATTCTCTCCTCATCCCACTGCTCATCTACGCTCTGTCATGTCCTAACCGGTGCTCAGTAACACCACCGGCACTCAGGTTTATTGGCAGCCCCCAGAAAGGAAAGTGGAAAAACTGATGTCAGGAAACTTAGTGACAAAATAAAGAAAAACATTCTTGCCCTATTCTGCACATCACGTCTAAGTAAAAAAAAATTACACAGAAATTAGCGACACATACAGCCAGGCTGGTTTGGGAATAGGTCCGATGCATCGTGGGACGTGACAGATGGAGTCAGATCATCAGCTGAAGACTGTGTCTCCTCCTCTTCTTCCCCTGAAAGCAAATCCTTCGCTATTTGTTCCTTTTAACAACAACAAGAAAGTGAAAAATATTTTTAAATTAAAAAAAAAAAAAAATTATGTGTGTGTGGGGTGAGGCCTAGAGTAAAGCATTTCTGGCCAAAGGTGGCCACATCCACAGATCTCCTCACCCTCCCATAGCTTCTCCAAAGACAGATTCCCTCTCACACTCCCCACCACCCCCAGATTATCTTCCCTAGAAGCACTTCTACAAGTGCCAAGAGTGGCTTCCTATGGAAGCCAGAGAGAGAACGAGCAAGTGGCCCTTTCTGTAGAACTCCACCCAGAGCAAATATCTCAAAGATCCTGGGAGGAGGAAAAAAGGGAAGAAAAAAAGCTTTCTACAGACTTTAGCTAGAATAGGAAGAGCCACAGCTTCAGCTGGGAAGATACAAACCTCCCCGACTCTCCACAGATCCACATCTATGTTTAAAGACCTGTAACCCAATTTCCATAAAGAGTTTTTACAGTGTTCTTTTTAAAACAGTTATCCTTTCTCCAGTCTCCTCTAAACTCTTTAAATTACATTTCTGCACCTGGTGTTCCTCACTGGGACATCAGAACTAGGTAGGCCCCTTCCCTCGGCATTAGTCAAACCCCACCTGAAAAGAGCTACTAGACGTCTTGAGCGCCACGGCAGCACAGTAACCTACAGCACAGGCTAATAGCATACACCCAAACAGACAGCTGCTCTTACCTTATCCAGAGTCATATCTGGGAGATTTGGAGTAATATCATTGCTCTCACTGTCCTGCTCCGAGATGGGATCAGATGCCTCATAGCCATAAAGTGCAAGCAGCTCCTCAAATGGCATTTCACTGCTCTGAGCGAGAGGAGGACAAAGCTTCATCAGGAATGGAACAATCACCGAGTACAACACCAGCTGTAGTGAACACAGAGATATGCAGAGGCAGTCAAGGCAGCTCTGCTCTTCTGGGGGCTCTGAACTGCCTTGGGTAACGCTGCATAATGAAGGAGGCACGGTCTGTCAGGACCCACCACAACCTGTTCTTCTCAAAAGTATAGAGAAGCCAGGAATTTTCACCCCAAAGCAAGAGTCAAGGGCATTTTTAAAATATACTTATTTTTTATACTAGATTTCATGCTGGTGAAGAGATGCCAGACAGCAGAACTGTATTTATACTGAGGAAGGGAAGGAGCGAATCCCTTTATTAATCTTGTGCCTGACCCGAAGAGACAGTCTCTGTCACCAAGAACACATTTGGGTTTCACAGAGGCCTCAGCGGGACCACCCACAGGGAACCACATCATCCCATCTTTGTGGTTCCTCCACTGTGAGACGGACATACACCCACCAGCTCATGGCTCTTCAGCAAGGTGAGCGAAGACCACCTCGTCAGAGTGGCTACTTGGCAGAGGAAGACTCCAAAATTGACTGCTGTCGCCTGTTGTCAAAACCATTCCTTCCTGTCCAAATGCAAACCTAAGACTCATTGATGGGTGGACCTAAACACAGCACGTTGCCAGCTGAGCAAGCAAGCCAGAGTTTCACACAAAGATCTGTGGTACCAGTACTGTAAAAGCAAACAAGAAAATCCAGCCGGTAATTTCCCTTCCCCTCCCTTGCTGCCTTTACCTGAGAGGCACTGAAACTCTTCTCCAGCTCTTCTAAAGATTTCTGCTTCTCCTGAGTATCATCATCTTCTTCCCTTTCTTCCCGTACACCATAGTTCTGTGAAAGGATCTCTGCTAGGTTCAGTCGATGATCAGCTGAGCCCATTGACACAACTGCAGGGATTAGAAAAAGTTGGGATACTAGCACCACCCTGGACCAAATCTTCAGATGCAACAAAGCTCGGGATGACCCCCTCTTGTGTGTGCAGCCACGATAAGCCAGAGGAAGAGATTAGGTAGAAAGGAGCGAGAGGGGCTGGGGAACACAACTGAAAGAAGCCACCCTGTGAGCGCTAAATTGCAAAGCCCAGTTCTCTGCACATTCTAGTCCCACAACTGACTGAAAGATGAATCTGAAGGTTTTCCGAGCATTTACGTGTCTCTCCTGACTGGATTTGCTAATCTCATAACACGTGAACACACACTGCAGCCTTTCCTTCTCCCGAGGCATTTTTAGGATAATTACCCCTTATTGCAAGAACAGGCAAATGGACACTTGTAGGAGCTTTGGCATCTTTAAGACTTTCCTCCTCTGTCAAATGGCATGCGAATCAACCAACAGGTTTAGACGATATTAGAAGGAGAAGGGAACAGGCAGGCTGATCACAGGAGCCTTGTTTCCTCTGGAAACCAGACCAACAAACAGAAGCATACTTAAACTGTGGCTACCTGCTGCACTCTGAAGGCCAGGCTCTCCAGGACATAGACTGTGGGCTGGGTACGGCACCACCCTCGGACTCTGCCTGCCAACTGAGGCCTTCAAGAAAAGAGAAAAATATGGCTGAGACATCTCTTCTTAAAAATGTAACATGCCTCCAGCCACTTAACCCCACCAGCAAATGCAATTAATTTAATTTCAAAGCAAAAGTTAACGAAAACCACACAGGGAAGCATTAGAAACTGTGCTGTGCAAAGAGCTCTAGGTAAGCGTATTTAACAGCTCTTCCAGGCCTCCTCTCCTCTGGATTCATCACCTTCCCCTCAAGCCTCTAACTGCATATGGCGGTGTTTCCATTTTATCTTTTTTATCTTCAGCACTTCACTAATTATTTACCCTCTCACCAGTTTAAGACCTCAGATCCTTATGGCTTACATTTTCACGTAAAAGAAGGATTTTGACCTGAAGCCATTATTCTAAATACACACATCATGCTTGTTTGAACACAGCATTTTTATGGGCTGACCCACTCTTTGGAGAGGCAATCAGAAGCAGCCGGCCACAACACGCCGGCTTCTCCCTAATGCCTCACCGCATCCAGAAAGCTCAGAGGGGTGAGCAAAGAAATTTAGAGCTGAGCAGGCAGCGAAGGAGTCTGGTAGGACTGCGAGTGGCACAGGCGAGGTGGGAAAGGGTGAGACAGGTAGACACCGAGAACAGGCACCTGCTTTCTGGCATTCAGTGCTCGGTCAGAAGTTCAGGCAGCAGTATGGGCTGAGGCCTGGAAAACAACCCAGAACATCTGCTGCTCCTTGGGCTGCTGTACATGGAAATGCTGTTCATCAAGTTCAGCCTAGGTAGGGAGCAAGCAGGTAATTAACCACTGCCTTTGGGTGACTGAGAGCATCCGACTGTGGAAGAAAATCATAGTGTCAGTCCCCCAGTCACCAATGACATCTTTTTATGATCCTCAGCCATTAATAATCTCAGCCGTGCACCATCACTCCTCACTTACTCAGTGGGAGCCAGGACATCTACAATGCTTCAGTACAAGGCTCTGACAACTTATTTAAGAAAACATAGCACAGCTTCACACCAAAATTCATCCTCTAACAATAGAGCAAAGCAGACACCAAAAAAGCCACCCCAGACTTTGGATTCTGAGTTAGTGCCTTCGGGTATTAACACACGCATTGGAAATTCCATAACAACTAGAGGGGCAGCTATTTTCTAGGTATAATTACCACGAAGATAACGGTTGGCCTGGAAGACAGCAGAAGATATTGCCATGGGAGAGAAGGACAGAGAGGAAAGAAGGGATAGGATCTGTGAAGCAGCTGTGGAATTCTTGCTCCTTCTTCTACCAGGACCAGTGGAAAGAGGATGCCTCTAGTCCAACTAGAGCACTCACTGCGTGCTGCAATTCACCGTCCCCAAGCGTCTGATTATTAGCAGCAAGATAATCCCACTGGAGACCACTTTGTCTGGCTGCAGGCAGAGCCCAGTGACTGTGTGCACTAGAAGAAAAGGGAGGAGTTCATGGGATAATGAAAGGAGAAGGGGACAGAAAGGATTCGGACAGCCTCCATTTTGAGGATGGTCATACCGGGAAATGGCTTCGTAACTCGGGAAAGTGTCAATGCCCCTTTGTTGGGCCTTGCTGGAATGTGACCAAGTACAAAACCCTCTTGGATAAATCCTTCCAAGCAAACAACCCCAGTTTCACAAAAAGGATAAGGGTGAGGTCTACCCTTACTCCCTCTAGTCTTGAGCAATCTGCAGAACTCTCTTTCCTGAGACAATGATCTATATATCGATTGCACCTCCTTTGCACGGGGATCAATGAGGAGCTGCATGCAAAGGATTTTGAAAACAAAGACTGAAACTGTTAGCAGTGGACGGGCTGGCTTGAAGAGATGTCAAGAATACTTCAGGAACAATGAGATCTTATATTAATGATCAGGTGCTGAAATGAAGAGTAACAGTCAGTATGACAGGATGACAACTCAATAACTAATCACGAGTGTATTTCCCTGAAGCAGTAACGTAGCGTTAGAGCAAGTGGGAACTACTCTGAGCTGGAGTTGCCATAAAATAACTAGCACTGCTGTGTTTGGGCTGAAAAAAGAAGAAACAAGTGACAAAGCAAACGGCCCATTCCGCACCCAAATTTAAACACGTGCGGAACCAAATGATCCCTCAGATTATTTACAAATCCAGAAGACCATGGAAACAAGAGTCAAAGACAAAGGAATAGGGGAGAAAGGCAAGTCTGGCCTAAATATGTAAATGATGACAGAGAGAATATTCCTGATTACAATGACTGCCCAATGCCACGTGATGTGGAGTTATTTCATTTGAAGGTGAGGTAGCCGTAGTCTGACACTTCAAATCCAAACGTCACGCAGGAGGCAAAAAATGCAACAGCATTACATGCATCAGAAAGACAGCAGCAACACCGAGGCGCTACCAGATATCTCCAGATCAAGAATGGTTCTTGGCCAAAGTGTGGATGCTCCTACTGCTGGCGACAGTTTTGGTCACCGTGAAAGGTCTCAGTGGTGAACTCTGTTTATTTTGACAGCGCAAGCATGATGCTGGAAAATAGTTCCTACGTCCATGGGCCATTTAGTCATGGGGGGGAAAAGGGAGATTAAATTCCTTTAATCTCGCCTTAAGTTTGCCAGTAGCTGCTTTCCCTCCTCTAGTCTCTGCTTCTCAGGCGCGAGGATAACCTTCCTCCCAAAAGTTACACAGCGGTTGACCAATTATTCACTCCCATGTTTGCATTTCTGGATGACTCCAGCACTTCCTCCTTAATTCTGGACTCAAGTTTTTGAGCGCACGGAACAAAGCAACAGCCATGTTTTAGAAAACGCAGGCAGAGGAAGAGCCTGAGCTTTTTGCACTACAAAGCTGTTTTCCAGCGCAAGGCAGGTTGATTGTCCAGAGAACTACCAGAGAAAACCCTTCAGGCTGCAACCACTCTTGCAAGAAAGTGAGGAAAAAAGAGGGAAGTTTCCCCTTTCCAGTGTTACTACTTTCATAACTAACGTGGTTTCCTAAGCTAGTTTAACATGTATTTCAGACTCAGCGAGAGAAGTGTTTCTTGTTCCTTTGCCTTATCCATACTACTTGACATGGGTCCATTTTCTACAAACTCCAGCTGTAGCCAGAGGGAAGCGGTATGGATGGAAACAGATTCATTCTGTAAGCTACGGACCTGAAAGAGCAAAAAATGAACAGAGACCATGACACACACGTAGTCTCCTGCACTGCTTGGGAAAATCAGCGCGCAAATCACACACTGTTGCAATGTCACAGAAGAGATACTCTGCACTTCAAACCTCTTCTGCAAGACAGTGACGGCTCCTGGATCTCCCCAAGGCAGAGACCTGCGTGCACAACAGCAACGCGGTGCAGTACGCCGGGGCAGCACTTCGGTGCGTTGTGTCAGCCCAACAGTGTGCCGAAGTAGCGCTTATGGATGGGATGGCAGGCAGGCCAGACGGCCCCCTCCTCATGCAAAACACTGAAATACCCTGAAAGCGAAGCCTTGCCGTTGAACAGAAGTTGTCCCTACTAGCAGCGTTCTGAGATCCTGCGACAGAGCAGCCAGATACCTCGATGTCTTCCCAGCGTCCTTTTCCCACCTCGTGGTCACCGCAAGGATCTCATGATGGAAATGAAGCGCGGATGTGCCACGACAACCATTACGACAGGACAGGGATATTTCAAGGATGTATCAAGACCCGACAGGTAATGGCATCACCAACCATAAGTGTGGTGGAGCGATGGCAGTGACGTTTCGGCACGATGCACCAAGACAAACACGGCGTCGCAATGGGAGAGGCAGCAGGGGTGTTGTGACCTGGCATCGGAACATAAGCCCCCCTCGCCTGCCCGCTCCCTCGGCAGGGCCATCCCCCCAGCCCCAGCCACCCCACCGATCCGCTCCCACCACCTTCCCCAGCCCTCCGCCATTCCCACATTCCCGACCTCTGCGTTCTCCCGCTGCTCAGGCCCTGTCACTTACCTCCAGCCTTTGCGAGCCCCCTTCCAGCAGCTCCGCACCCCTCTGGCCCCAGCGACCCCAACGCTG